AGATGAGCATGGTATGTGAATCGAAAACGTGTCGCAGCAAGAACAACGCGGCTATTTTGACCTGTTACTCCGTGGAGTGCGCTTTTCTTAACGGCAATCGCCCCATTCGTTTCTGCGAGACCTGTCATCTCATTCGCCATAGCTCCCAGGCGGCCGAAGTGAGTGCACAAGGCAAAGAACCTGCTACAGTGGAACATGTTTACCAGGTGACGTAAATCTGTTTATTTGACCTAGTTGGAGGGTAAAATAAAAGTGACTGTAATTGACGTATGTTGTTGCACTAGTTAGCACTGGCACAGGCTAATGAGTTTAAAACCTCTGTTTTCTGCTTTAACATAGCTAAGTGGCTTCTTTGATCGTTTGTAGTCAACATGCATCCTCCTTCGCCAAACTGAGCTCTAGCATTTTGTGGCAATTTGGCAAAATACTTTCACGAACTACACACTCAACAGCAAAAATCCTTCAAATCCAGGTTTTTATCACCATAAGTTCATGCTTCTATAAATTGTTAAGTGAAGCTGAGAGAAGATCTACTTTAGCTTATAAGTTAGCGTCTAAATAAAACTAAAGAACTACATGGAGGCCCGTTTTACAGGGTGACATTTCCAGCTTGTAAGCCGATCATTATGTTTCTCAGTTAGGGCCAACTGCTTTAGTAAGCTCATAAATTTTGCTTTGAGCTGAATTTTCAACTAAACGATCCAGTCTTTCGCCACACAGACTCAAATACCTGACATCTGGGCAAGCGGCCTTGACCTCCAGCCAATGATGCTAGAATCCATAGTAACTCTGATCCGTGAGACTCAACCACGTTGGCGACAGCTACTTCTTGGGCTGTCCGAGGAGGCAGGAGGTAGTGTAACTAGATCTGGAGGTGGTTTGGAGCGAACAATTAGCGGCGGTTGTGTCGGTGGCAGTGGAGTTGGGATAGGTGGTGGACCCGCGGGTCCTGGTGGTCCACCCCAACTCTCCTCTGCCGGTTCCGTTCCTACTGCCTCTGAATTCCTCATGCCTTCAGCTGGTGGGCCCGGTCCTCTTGGATCCTCTATGGTCAGCGGTAATCCTTCACCCTCAATTCCAGCAGCCAATTTGGAAGGAACGCCTGCCGGGGTGTGTGATGCAACGCTGGGCTAGGAGCCTAACGATGGCTTATCTTATTGAATTTAGTAGCATTTGCTACTCTAGTGATTATTTTTGCATTTCACCACTGAAAGCGCTCACGGAGAGTAGTTAAATTTGTGGAAGTGCCTTTACATGAGCTTCGTTGATGCTTACTTAATTCATACCCTCTTCAGAAAGTCTTTATGCAAGTACTTATTTCGTTCATTCGTCCGCTTCATAGCATAGCGTTAGAATTCGTAGCAGCCCTACTTACTAAATGCTCCTTCAAATTCTCTTGTCTCTTCTGCTCGTTTGGAGCAGAAAGGATTCTGCGAAAGGAGAACTTTTTGTAAATAGTATCCTTTTTGGGGTGAAGCAAGTCTATTTTCCTCGATCGCATTTGTCATAATAACCACTATTCTTTGTGGGTGGTAAAGCATAAACATGCATTTAACATTACTTCCTTTTAGGGGCTCAAATTCATCTCTTTAGAGGCAAGGAAACCATGAAATTTGAGAGATGCATTATTTTTAGTATTGACTGTTACCCTTTTTTCATTGCATTGCAATCAGTGCTTCTTGTTTATCCTCACATTTCTCGTCTTCTCAGCGAGAAGGTGGTGTGCAAACCAGGCCAACATTTCAAGTATCCGGTCGGTATGCAGTGGGCCCGAATGGCGAGCCAGAGTTAACTCTAGAAGGCCGCTACGATGACGAAGATTACAAAATCCTTGCCGTCTATGGAGCCATGTTGGTTGGAGAGAAATGCAGACCTGGTGAAAAGATTAATCTGGTGAGTAGTTCAACAGGATTTTATTTGTGAAGGGCGCTCTTCTCTGGAACCAAGTTGACTAAAGCCTTGAATACTACCCACAACCTCTTTAATGAATGCACAAAACTTCAAATCAGGGTAATCTTATTTACCTCTCCTGGTAGGACATCTTGACGCGAATTACAGCCGGCGTTTTCAACTGGTTTTTGGATACTGCGTACACTAATGAAGGTACCTCCGGACATTTGTTCGGATTTTTATGACATTAACTGTCAATAACATGCTTAATTATCGGAACTTTGCTCAAACATTTTCATTTTATTGTCATAGTAGCAACAAATTACTACCAAGGCTACGCATCGCCAAAAAGCCACCGTAATTTTTTCTCTCGTCTTGTGTTGCTTCATGTCAACGTGTTTAATCGCTTTGATGTGATTCGCTTCCAACCGCTTTCCCCATTGTTCTAATTACTTAATTTGGTTAACTGTTTTATTAGGGCTCAATTGAAAGGAGGTTGAAAATTGGCGATTAAAAGCACTTGAAGCTATTTTCTGCCTTTTTGAGAATGCGCCACTCTTCAGCCAAGCCACAAGTAGCCTATAGCCTTCTATTTCGAAGTTTAAGTAGTTTTTTACGCAGTGAATGCGTTTGCTAAATTTTAGCAATATCATGCCCACAACCACACGGCCTGTGGTGTAAGCGCACAGGTTCTTTTTTCGCTTTAAAGCGTCTGCTTACTTGCCCACCAGCGTACGCGCATGCTAACAACCGAGGCCAGTGAATCCGGCCGCTGATTGGTCATCGCGTGTTCTCCTTTTTAGATGAACTGGGAGAACTGATCGAGCGTCTCAAGAGTGAGGTGAGCGCTATTCGGTCATGCAG